ACTTCCCTCGAATACAACGCATCCCCACCCGACCCCAAAGCTAGGGTGTATACATTCACGATTTTCCTTGCTTTGGCATAACATTCGCGAAATCGTGACTGAAGCGCTTTTGCAAACTGACACTGTGACTGCGCCCTACCTTTTCCCTAAAAACAAGACATAAAACAGAGCCCAAGAAGTTTGACAAACGTTTTTTATTTTATTTTATTTTATTTTATTTATTTATTTAAAAGAGCGATGGCCTTGAGGTATTATCATCGGACTAACCAGCCCAGCTAAATTCAATCTTTTGTTTAATCTGACACCGCAGGGTGGACTTTTCAGCCCAAGGTGGCCTTTCTTTATTGCCTTCAGCGAACCCCGGGGACCAACGGGCTATCTCTAAAGTCTGCCCCCGAATACGACGTATGGTCATTATAGCTGAATTTGGGGTATCTTTCAGTCTAAATACAGCTATAATGACCATACAACGGTCATTATAGCTGAATTTGGGGCATCTTTCAGTCTAAATACAGCTATAATGACCATACAACGTAGGTTGTATTTGGGGGAAGAAGGTAGGTGTTGGGCGCCAAGCTTGCCCAGGAAGGTACATGAAGCCAATGGGGGTTGAACCCAAGACCTCCTGAATGCCACTTGCGTGCCTTACCAACCGAGCTAGGCCGCTGGATTTGACAACATGAGCTGAAGGCAGGCAGAATAAATGGGAAAAAACAGTCCGTACGCCCGGGACCCCCCTGACCGTCTGGGTTGTTGTCCGATCGGACAACTGGTCGGACATCCTCCCCAGGCAGCCTGTCCGAGCCCGAACGGCAAAAAAAAAAAAAGACCTCAAAAAATTCCGAAACAAAACTATGTTATGCGGAGATAGAAACAGAACACCTTTTGCCTTGGGATAACATCGAAATTAGTTGTCAAATTGAAAATACAAAATAAAATTAAAGACACCCCCAATTTTTTTTCTTTTTTTGTGCTTTTAACTGCTAAAAATGGAGTTGTCCGGGCCCCAGACGTCCGGGACCCCCCTGACTGTCCTGCCAGGACGTCCTGCCATGGGACAACTGGGGCCAAGTCCCACTTACCCGAAATCTCAACTTCTGACCGTAGATTCGGAAGATCAACGGCCACAAATGAAGAATCAGCGTAAGTGGGACTTGGCCCCTGGTAACATAGAAAAAACTTCAAAAAACACTTCAAAAAAAACTTAAAAAAAGTATTAAACAGTTTCAAGATTTTTGTACTGTGTGGCCGGAAGAATGTAGTTGGCCATTGCCCTGGGCCTGGATTCCCAGCCCTCCCCCCCGTGTCCATGCCGCCCCGTGGTGGGTCGCTGCGGCGCCCTGCTGTCAATGTTGCGATCCTTTCTCCCCACATCCCATCCCATCCCTAACTGCCCCTTCACTGGCTTCAGGGCCTAGTTGCACTACTCGCCATCCCCCAAGATTCTGAATGCATCTGGACAAAACTTTGTACAGATGCACTTGACATCTTGGCAAATGGAGAGTAGTGCAACTAGGCCCTCAGTTATCTTGACTTTGAGCCATTGTGTATGGCTCCCAACAGATCCCAACAGGTCCCTGGATAGGGATCATTGGGTCAATCAGCGTCAGCCACACCAGACTGTTGAGTCATTGACTGTATGGACTGATTCGGGGGATCGAATCAGATCACGATGATGAAGCGTGAGCCAGCGAAATCACAAAGGAAGGTGAAAAAAGAAAAAAGAAAAAAAAAGGAGCCAGTGGTCAGGATTCCGCTGGGAAAAGAGAAAACTGAAAGGCGTGCAAAAAATATCAGCAGGCGGAACGTCTTCCCTCTTGTTCCTCCCCCGGAAAATCCCTCTTGTGATTCAATCAGTATATAGTGCACGCCAATATGTTGACGCAGTATATACTACATAGTATATATACTGCACGCCAAGAGGCGCCATGAGAAGGGGGGAAAAAACATGTACCAATAGGAGGAGCTGGAAGAAAGGATGGGTGGAGGTAGTGGCAGTGGCAGTGGTAGCAGCGGTCGTTGTGGTGGCTATGAAAGAGCGGTCGCTTTGGCTGTGGTGACTAGGGTAGTGTTTTTTTTCCTTTCTTTTTCGGGGTAACTACAGCGCAGTCACGAAAAACAGTTTGGAAATGCACTTCACGCAATCCACCAAACATAACACACCCCCCACATGAACCCACCGGACCCGGAAGCTTTGCACATTGATATTGAAACGTCTCAACCACCGATCCCTTATTATGGACGACACATCCACTCTTGGTTGCAGCAAACGATACGCTGCTTTGACTGAGAGAGATTGTAAAGAACGTGGCTTATTCTTTTTACCAGTCCGTCATAGTATACCCATTCAACTGGGTCCAAGGGTAAATCCGGAATTGGGCATTGAGGTTGAGCAACTCTCCAGCCTTTAATTGCAGAGAAAAAGGTACTCTAATCCTGAATATTCCTGGCTTGTACACATTCGTCATTACCGGCCCTTTTGCCTGAAGTGCATTTTCAAACTCAAACCCTGGCTGCGCCGTAGTTTTTTTTTCTTTTTTGGTTTTTTGTGTGTGGTGGTGGTTGGGGGGGGGGAAGGTGGGGTGCTGAAGGGGGGAAGGTGGGGAGAGCAAAACATGTGAAACTGTTCTTAAAAAAAGCACCAATTCCAATGGCCTAGAACTTTCCTTTTCTGACTTGTGAAAGTTTCACATGTTCCTGCCTTTCTTTCCACCCCCCCCCCCCCGCCACACCCTGCATCATACGTCTAAGAGTTCACCACTTGTCACTGACAGTGAGTTCCTCAACTGAAGCTTGCATTTTTATTTATTTTTTGGTATCCCGGTTGCACGCGGGCTATTGATCTACCAGATTCTATCTTTACACTGCCAGCCCATGCTGCGTAATTCTAGCAAATTGCATTTCCAGGAAGACGGCACGACGATCGTTGTTGGCGGGCAAACCATGGACCAGACCTTGTGCTGCCTCCTTGATCCTTGCTATCTTCTTCAATCTGATGGAGTCCGTGCCTGACGTCAGCCACGGCTTGCGGCTGACGCGGACCCCTTTTATAAGCCTTACTGTGCCTGCCGTCAGCCATGACTTGCGGCTGACGTGGACTCCTTGTATAAGCCTTTGCGGCTCATGCGAACCCCTTTATTTATAAGCCTTACTGTGCCTGACGTCAGCCACGGCTTGTGGCTGAGGTGGACCCCTTGTATAAGCCTTTGCGGCTGACACGGACCCCTTTATTATAAGCCTTACTGTGCCTGCCGTCAGCCATCGCTTGCGGCTGACGTGGACCCCCTTTATAAGCCTTACTGTCCCTCTCGTGTGATGCAGATGTCTTCAAGACTTACTAATTACTGAGACGGCTGCCCGAGCTGAGTCTTCTGACCGTCAAATTATCCATAGCGCCAGGTACGTTTCAGGTATCGAAGGGCTGGAGGGCGAGTGCAAGGGGGGGAGAATACAGCTGGAGGGGGGAGGGGGTAAAGATGGGGAAGTGGAGGGGGAGGAGGAGGGGGGGGGGGAGCGCGGCGGCATGTGACTTGTGAGAAGGACGGAGTTAAGTCTGTAGATTAAAAAGGAAAAAAAAAGGTCTGCAGATAGGCAAGTTCAAAGCAGTTGAAGGATTTCCTCTGCCAGGTGGGCTCCGTGTTCCTCCAGGGTTTCCACTGAATGGTGAGTGCAGCATCCAGGTCCGAAAATATTCTGCCAGGGTCCTGGCATATCTGGCAGTAGTAGGAGTCACGGATGACTTCTCTAGCAACGGGGTCCCTCTCGTACTGGTAGTCTCGTTTCATGGTTCTCCAGGCTCCCTGTGTCCCAGACCTAATCTCTTCTTCCATTGCTTGCTGTGCTTGTTGCAGCCCAAATTGATGCTCTTTCATTTCAAAATTTCCATCGTGTGTCAGTTTTGTTGGAGCGTACTTGGATGGCTTCTCGAGCAAGGGGGTCCCTCTCGTCCTGGTAGTCTCGTTTCATGGTTCTCCAGGCTCCCTGTGTCCGGGACCTAGTCTCTTCTTCCATTGCTTGCTGTGCTTGTTGCAGCCCAAATTGAATGCTCTTTCATTTCAAAATTTCCTTTTGTTCGAGCCTACTTGCAACCACACATGTGTTCTGCGGGCATTCTTTTCTTTTCTTTCTTTCTTTTTTTTTTTTTTTCTTTTTTTTTTCAAGAGCCCGGGTTATTGTAGAGGTTGGGTTCTAGACCTACGACAGTCACCCTCAGCACTCGGCCATGGGCTCGTCCAGTGTTCTATGATGGGCCCTTTTTTTTCGGTTTTTTAACTTCGTATACAGGAAACCTACTTAATGAGGTGATAAGAGCATCCTCGGTAAGTAGACCCCAACGTTGAAGGCTCCATCTATTGGTGGGGAGCTGCACCTGCTGGAAATTGGGTTCAGCGTCCCTGTACAATGATGTGAATGTATCAGCTGGAAATCGGGTCCAGCGTCCCTATACAGAGATGTGTTCATATCACCAACTTCCTATGTATGTTTGTAAATCAATATATGTGAGATGATGGTAGAACCCTATCCATCTGATCTACAGATTCTCAAAAACGAACTAAGGCATCAATCCCAATCCTATCTTTCAGGCCAGGGGACGAAACCCTAGCTTTGATATGATGTGTGTGAGCTGGATATCAGACCAATCAGGTCCAGCATCTCTAATCAAGGATGTGTTGTGTATCGGCTGGGAATCGGGCCCAGCGTCCCTACTCACTATCCATCTGATCTACAGACTCTCAAAAAAACGAACTAATAACAATCCCAATCCTATCAAAGAAGTATGTGCTCTGAAACAATGAACCAAAATACAAAACCCTATTCATGATGTGACGTGTATGCTCAGAATCAATCCACCCTAAACATGAAACCCTATCGATGATGTAGTATACGTGATCTAAACATCGAGTCCAGCATCCCTTATGCAATAGAATGTGAAATCATCCCACTAGACTTTGTCTGAAAAGAGCAGGGCCATTGATTGCTTCCCTACAGAAGGGAAGGATTGAACTCCTGCAAATGAATTGATATCCTGGCGAGAGGCATCTTCATCGAACTGATCTCTGTAGGCAGCAGCTACCACCATCGACTATCCTACTCCTCCCCTCTGCCAGACAACAAAGATCAGCTGCATGTCAAGGTTGAAAGGGGGGAGGATAGCAGGCCAACTTTTGTCACCCCCACGCCCCTCCAAATCATCTTTCGTCTTGCTGCCGCCGTGGTTATTGTTGCGACCCCCAATCCCCTCAACGTCCAATAGAGGCAACTCTCCCACCGCTCTGATAGCTATCATGGATGCACAAGCACCACTCCCTGTCCCGCTACAGCCATGGTCGCCTCCACCGCCGTCGTCGTCGTTGTTGTTGTTGTTGTTGTTGTTGTTGTTGTTGTTGTTGTTGTTGTTGTGGTGGTGGTGGTGGTGGTGGCGGTGTTGTTGTTGTTTAACCCCCAATCCTCTCAATGTTCAGTAGAGGTGTCACTCCCACCGCGATGACAACGATCATGGATGGGCAACCACCACTCCCTGCCCTGTCATCGTTGTTGTTGTTGTTGTTGTTGTTGTTGTTGTTGTTGTGACTACCAATCCCCTCAGCGTCCAGTAGAGGCATGACTCCCACCGTGCTAACAGCGATCATGGATGCGCAACCACCACTCCCTGCTCTGCTTCTGCCATGGTTGTCGCCGCCATCTTCGTCGTCGTCGTTGTTGTTGTTATTGTTGTTGCTATTGTTGTTGTTGTTGTTGTTGTTGTTGTTGTTGGCGCCATCGCTGTTGTTGTTATTGATGATGATGTTGTCTCCATCGTTGTTGTCGTTGTCATTGTTGTTGTTGTTGTTGTTGTTGTTGTTGTTGTTGTTGTTGTTGTTGTTGTTGTGATTGTTATCATGATTCTCGCCCTGCTCCATTCCCAGCCAACCGCTGTCGTTGTTGTTATTGTTATCACTGTTATCCTCCTTTTCGCCCTTCTCACCTGTTTTGCCCCTTCCCTTCTCGCCTTCACGATGTCATTGTTGTTATTGTTATTGTTGTTGTTGATGGCATCCATCTTTCCCTTCGCGTCCATCTCGCCCATTCCTTGGTGCTGCTCCACCACTGCCGCCGCTGCCATGAACCCCATCTCCACCTCGCACACACCTGCCTGGTCTCCCTGACCCTGATGAGGATGAGTGTCACCGGCAGTAATGGCACTCTCAGCAGTGACCTGATAGGAGAGCGCCATCAGGCTATCCCACCACCCTCCAACCCCCCCTTTAAGCTCGTCCCTGTCCCACACTGCCGCGTCACGGCTCCTCTCACTTTCTGCTTCCCAATCCTCACACCCTGCATAAATGTTAGCATAGTTACTGTAGTTGGCCACGTCTTCGTCATCTGCATATGAGGCGTCGTCTTCCGCGTCCAAAAGAGTATCTCCATATTGTAGCTCCCCCACCAACTCCATCACGTACCCACTCTGCTGCGCCACTATGTATATCCACGTCAATCTTCACAGCTGGCGCTACCCCTGCCCGCGCGTCGCGGTGATCCACGTCACCAACAGCAGATGCCACGTGGCCAATCAAGCAGCCATGCACATCGGATGGGCGCGTGCGCAGGCCTAGCAGCCTGGGGACTCCCCTCCCCAGGGGCTAGTCTAGCCGGGGGAACCGGTTCTCACCGGTCCGCCGGCATCAGTGCGCTAGTGGCGCTAGCACTAGCGCAGCCCCCACTACCATTCTGCTCAGTGGTAGTATACACTGGTCTCCTGGCTGTGACTAGGAGAACTGACTATGATGGCCCTTTAATCCTAACCCTTCCTTCTCTTGTCAGTCGTTCCCGACACACCCCTACTCGTACAATCCTACCTCAGTGTCTATCACTCAGAACTAACATCCTCCGCTCAGATCACCTCAACTAGTATTTTCCTGCAGAGTCTTTAAAAAAAAAAAAGGACTAACATCCTCCGATCTTCTCTCGACAGAGATGACTTGACCGGACTGTGGTTGCAGATACCAGGGCTACCATGGCTAAGCAGGACCCCACTACTCAGCCCTGATCGAAGCATATTCGAACGAGCCTTGTCGCACAGGTGCTTCGGGCGGTAGGTATAGGCGTCCTCTACCAGTCTCATAGGTGGACCTATTGTTATTCCTACCGTTGTATACACAGTGATAATCACGGCCGTAAATTTGATTTGTTAGGTTGTTCACTGTGTACACTGTCGTTGTCGCTATTGTTGCTGTTGTTGTTGTTGATGGTGAGCTGTTTCTGATTTTTTTGTGTGAGAACATGGGAGGCAGGCTATCAACCCTAATCAATCCCCCTAGAGAGCGCCCCCATCCCAAAAGCCCTACTGACACTGACCATAGACTGTAGTAAGTCTCTCTCCTCTCATCAACCGTTCCTGTTATAACTTGTAATGCTATGGGCGGTCTGTGGGGTCCTAGTGTTTTCAGACTAACAACGACTATAGACCGTACTAAAGTCTCCTCTCATCAACTTTTCCTGTTATATAATTCTGTGGGCGAGCTGTCCTAAGGAGGGAGCCCTCAATCTAACCCCTCCCGTGCCTAGCGGCTGACCCCCCCAGATCTCCAGCTAGCAGCGGGCTTCCTCGTAGTTTCTACTCTAAGCCCAGGATCCCTACTAACGCCGACTGCAGGCCGTACTAAGTCTCCTCTCATCAACTGTTCCTGTTATAATTGTATGAGCGGGCTGTAAGTCTCTCTTCCTTTTGCATCCCACTACCTAAACGGATTTGAACACAACCTCAACCATGCAAATGTACCATTGAAGCTACTGAGCTGCTGTGGAAACCACTAGTAGTCGATTTGTACGCAATACTGGACCGGAAGGCAAACAAACAATCACGAACAATCATCCTCAAGTGTGCAAGTACCTAGACAACCCCGTGAACCAAGATCATCAGACAAACATCTCATAGACCAGACCCAGCATACAACAACCACTGACTAAGTCCCTCGCAAAGGGCGTGCACAAATCGGCTACGTAGTTTCCACAGTAGCTCAGTAGGTTCAATGGTACATTTGCATGGTCGAGGTTGTGTGTGTTGGAAGTTTTTCAAATTCGTTTACTAGGTAGTGGGATGCAGAAGGCAGAGAGACTTACAGCCCACCCGTAGAATTATATAACAGGAACAGTTGACGGGAGGAGGAGACTTAGTACGGTCTGTGGTCGGTGTTGGTAGGGATCCTGGGTTAAGAGCAGAGACTACCGTCTTCACCCACATATAACGCCCGGTCATTATAGCCATATTTGGGGCCATTTCTGTCCAGATGCAGCGATAATGACCAGGCGTTCTAGTCGGGTGAAGACAGCAGAGAGGGAGCCCGCTGTTAGCTGGAGATCTGGGGGGGTCAGCGGACGTCAGCCGCTAGGCACAGGAGGGGTTAGGCATTCCTATTTTTTCATCAATTGAAAGAACCAAATTTCAGGTTCCGGGAAGTGTCACCGTGAAACGTTGCTCAAGATAATGTTTTGCGAACTTTGACATCACATTCTGTTTCTGGATTTTTTGGAATTTAATGTTCAGAATCTGCATCTTTTTGGTCGATCACAGCGCACTCTTGCAGGAATCAGGGTCTTATGCAGGGGTGGAGGGGGTGGTTACAACACCTCAGGGGGTTCATCTGCAATTCGCTGATTGGACTGACTTTGACGTTGCATTCCCAATGAAGCCATCCATGGAGCTCTTGGGTCCATGATTCCCACTGCCCAACCACAGCCTAGTTGAACTCTCGTGGTTCGAGGGGAGAGAGGGGAAAGAGGGGACAGAGGGGAGAGGGGGGGTTGGGGGGGGAGGGGGGGAGGGGCGCGGTCATGAATAGTACCACAGAAACATTTCAGTCAGGGGGCTAGCTCTAGGAGCTCAATCTGAAAGTTGGTGGCTACAACTAAAAGCCAAAGAGGCCGGTTCCCCTCCGCATCTCCTTAAATTAACTGATCTTATTAGTACCGTCTCCACCTGAATATTAAAACATATGTCGGTCATTATACTTTTTGCGCTTGGGGCAATGATGCAGTCCAGGAGGGCTAAGCGAGGCGCGCCTACTATTGCTGGTTGAAAACTAGAATAACGAAAATCGTACTAAGTCCAGATCTATTCACGGGAAGACGGTAGTTAAGAGGTCGGCCCTGCTAAACATGCCAGATCTATTCACCGGAAGACGGTAGTTAAGAGGTCGGCCCTGCTAAACATGCCAATGTCTGAACTATTTCATGCAGGATTGTAACATTGGGACACTGGACACATTTTCAAGCAGGTGCTGCTTCCCACCAATAGACTGGAGCCATCCCATTTTCTTTTTTTATAACATCAATCTGGGGACCACTACCAAGCCTTAGCGCAGGGATAAGATCCCAGCTGGTAGTTGGGGGGAGGGGAAGGGTTGATGGGTCCTTTCTTACTCGTGGAGAGCAGCTCCTGCAGCTGGGAACTGGGCCCGGCGTCCCTTTTAAAACAGCAGCAGATGATACTTGTCGTCCACCTACCTTGTATGTTGTATTCGGGGGAAGAACGCAGTGTTAATACAGAACAACACTCCTCTGATCTTCTCATTGCTGACCTGCACAATCATCGACCAGGTCGTCATCTCGACACTGACTGTAATCGTTGACCAACTACGGGCCGAGTCTATTGCAACTTAACCGCAGTCACAACCCGACCTGATGGTGATGTAGACGGTGACTGCGATCCTTGGCCGACTGTGGGCTGAATGTGTTGCACTGTGACCCCAGCCCGGGGTTGAAACCTAGACCATTGTAGACCGACGAGTCTATTGCACTGTGAGCCCAACCCGGGGTAAGGGCAGGGTTGCCTCCTCTGGCCCCTGTTCCAGGGGAGGCTGTCATTGTCCTCAAGTGTCGAGAGCAGGGGAAGAGAACCAGGGAGGGTGAGGAACATGATCATCCAAGATGAAGGAGAGGAAGATGCGGATGGGGTCAAAGAGGGGGGGGTAGTTGCACAGTACGGGGGGCATGATCTGAGGGTTGGAGGTTCCCAGGAGGTTAGGAGGGAGGGTGTCTGATGGCCGGGGTTGCAGATCTGGAGCATCGAACGCTGGACCCCCGCCAAAAGCACGGACGGTGGGCGGGGGTCCAGCGTTTGTCGAATGCCGGACCCCCGCCCACCGGCCGTGCTTTTGGCGGGGGTCCAGCCACCAATAGCATGGTCGGTAGTCGGGGTCCAGCGTTTGTCAAATGCCGGCCCCCCGCCCTACGC